AGAAATTCCATCTTCGAGTACGTCAAATTCTGGAGCCACAACTAGCAAAGCTAAGAGTTCTGATCTTGGCCCTGTTCCAACGACCCAAACGTCAAATTCTGGAGCTGACGTGGTCACTACAAGTTCTGGAATTAACGCGTCGACTACCAAGCCAAAGAAGACTGAACCAGAGCTTGGGAAGCTACAAAGCTCGAAGCTACCAAATTCTGAAGTTGACGTGTCCACGACAAAGCCGAAAAATGCTAAACTTTCCAGCACTAAAGCGTTCCAACCCCCGAATTCCGGAAATGAAGTACTTCCGAAGCCAAACGCTACGGAACCGAAGAAAAACGGTGAAGCCAAGTTCCATATGAGTGGACCGTCAGGTTCGGGAGCATCCCCAGGCGCTGTTGTGGGACCGAAGAATTTGGAAGAAACGAAAGGAAAAGCCTCCATCCCTCAAATGAAGTCTTCTGGATCCGGAACTTGCGTCGCGATGGCTCTGTTATCCGCAATCTTCTCCTTCGCGTTTCAATAAATCTACAAGCGGCTTTTCGAGGTCTGGGTTTTCAATAAATTTGTTATCAGTAATCTTAATTGCACCAAATAAAATTACAACACGGTAGAAGCCACGTCGTATCACTGGCTAAAATACTATGCAAACTTTAGCCCTTTTCGGGAATTTTTGGAGCAATCCCTCCATTTATTTCCGTGCCCTTTCTCCTCTTTTTGAAGTTTTTAAGCGGTGACTCGGGCCGAATTCACCAATTCTCTAGATTGTGAATCGTCGTTCATCATAATTGGTAGCCAAAATATCATTTTTGGAGCTTGAAATTGGCGCAAAAGACTAATTTTCCATTCGCTGCGAGACTCGAAAATGGCTACTAACACCTTATCAAGCTGGATCCCGATTTTTCTAGTATTATCTTGTCTATGCGGGTCATTTCATGGACGACATACACAAATGGACAGATATAACCACGACTCGCTACTCGATGATCTCCTGAATGTAGAAGGTTTTCAAGGTAACGGCAACACCTCATTTTGCCCTTCGCTTCGGGGCTTTGGCATTACCGCGGGCAGGGAGGGAGGAGAGGCGCCCGATTACGGGGAGAACAAACGATTTCCGGGTTGTCGAATTTTTCAAACATAAGTAGAGAAACCGTTTTTAACCGCTTTGTAAAATTCCTAAAGCTAAAACTTTAAAATGTACAATTCAAAGAACTACAGATTTTCGACCAAAGATCCAATTTTTTTAAAATTTTTTTAATAGTTTTCCATATGGAATATCACTTAACTTCACTAAAAAATTGGATAAATATTTGTTAATGCGTCGCTAGACATTTCTGGGCATATCCCACCAAAAAATAGTTTCCCCCCCCCCTTCGATAGTGCACAAGGACCAAAATTTTGCACTATTTCTGAGAACTTTCCCGAAATTGCTCTGGTTTTCAAGATCATAAAAACCCTTGGAATTTCGATTCATTTAAAAATAAGCCATTTTAGATGGGTCGTACAACAGCAGCGACTTCGGGGAGGGCAACTGGACGATTTTTGAAAATGGAGCTTTCAACGGGACAAACTCTTCAATGTGGGATACTGCAAACTATACTATGGCTGATTTCGAACCGGAAAACATCACCGATTCGCCCGCCACCACTACTGAATTCAAATGGTACGATCTTCCAGAGATGGATTATGAAGACGTGACACCACGGCGGCTTGAGAGGCGATCCCCCAACCCCCCCAAAACCCCCCCCGCTTGTTTTGTCGCTTTCCTTACGCGGGGAGGCCCATATTCCGGACGATTCTGAACGCCTTCAAGAGCCCACGTCAACCACAAAGCCAAAAAATTCGGAACCCGAGAATTCTGGTCAAGAAACGATCTTTGAGAGCAAGCAGTTAGATGCTGAAGCATTACGAGCTCTGGCGGAGGCCGAAATCGAGGGTATGGAAGAAGAAGAAGAAGAAGAAGTTGCAGTCCCCACATCTCAAGCTTCAAGCTCGGGATCCGGCACGAGCATCACGATGGCCCTGCTTTTCTCAATTTTGGCCATTGCGCTCCAATAAACTGAGGATCTGCTCCACCTCGCTTAACTTGCAATAAATATCTGTTTTTGTCGAAGGGAGTTAAAAAGGCATCCACAAGCCCCAAGACATTTATCAGTTGAGATCCATCCATAGCGATGTGTGCGATAAGTATCTGTGCGTAGTCTTGTGTATAAGACGCTTATCTGGTGCGTACGTGACTGATAGATGTCTAGCTTGTGCGTAATATGCATAGCGGGTGCGTCGCCTGTGCGTAAATCTACTTAGCCGTTGCGGCCCTGATGCGTAGCGGGCGCGTTACGAAGGCGTAGCGTGTGCGTAGAGAAGCGTGTGCGTAGTGTGTGTGCGCAACGGATGCTCAGAGTGTATTAGATGGTGCGTAGCGTGTGCGCAGTGGATCCATGGCGCGTGCGTAGCTATACCCAACGGATGCGTAGCGTGTGTGTCACGTGTGCGTAGCGTGTGCCTGCCACTAAACCACGATAGCCGAATTTTGAAAACTTAGCCTTCGATCGCTCAAAATTCCAGCAAGATGGGCCGAAACACGTAGGGATAAAAGTTTATTGATAATTAACTATACAGCACGAAAAAAGCATTCGATCGGTGATGATTGTTTCTAGGATCCGTTCGGTCCTTCCGTTCCATCAGCATAACCCTCCTTCAGCCATTCCACCGACGGGAAGTTGCAATTGTTGCTGGCGCAGCCGTAGTCCCAAATCGTGTCTGAAACAGCAAAAAGTGAAATGGCAACTCCAGCTCCGGCCCCCAACTTTTGTATCCCAGCTCCCTGTTCATCTACAGGTGTGTAAAGTATAACAAAATGCTCGCCAGAGCAATACGAACATTTTGTTATACTTTACACACGTGGAGATGAACAGGGAGCGAGCTACAAAAGTTGCGAGCCGGCTGGGGGGGCGGGGTATCTGAAGTCTTACCCCGAAAATAAATCGGGCCCTTTGCGGCGCTTTTGAGTTCATTTTGCGTCTTTTTTGCGTCGCGTTTCCGTCACTTACGGACCACGGCCACCAAGCGACAATTCAAAACCGGACGGCTGCTTACAATTGGGAGTCTTGACCCGCCACCGATCACGTTTCCACTTGGGGCCCGCGTAGCAGTTCCTGACGGTGAGCGGCTGGTTGTCGGCGTCTTCGAGGCGTCGCGCAAAACATTTGCCCTTCGGACACTCGCTCACCTCGACGACGGCCTGAAAGGAGTAGCTGGCTTACGGGAAAGCCTAGCGAAAATTGAGGTATACAAATTTAGCACGTAAGTGAGCAGATAGGTCTATTGCAAACGCTTAATTCAAATGATGCTATACCATCTGATTTTCTTCGGAGCAGTGCTCGTTGTAGCCGACTTCCCCGTACAATTCGGGTTCTCTAGAAAATACGGTGTCATAAAATTTTTCCTTGCGCTTACAGCAGCTGAAATTGGAGAATGGCCTGCTGATCCCCAGACCAGCATTTGAAGCAGGTGACGGCGTTAACCAGGCGGTTTTGGTGCCCGATGACGGCGAGCAGTGCAACCGCCCAGAAAAAATTGGGCATTTCGTTGTAGTGGGCTATTTTTGGAAGGAATTCTCGTTAAAATTCCTGGCGCTAATGTAAATTATGGTTTATTCATGTCTATTATTCATGTCTATGAGAGTTCTAGCGGTCCTGAAAATGGGTGGTCCTCCTGATAACGACAGATGAAAACACTAATCCGCAATTTCAATAAACCGATATGAATTAATCTAATTAAATTCCATAATTCCCAACGAAAATGACAACGTCATTTCTGCCATATGTCTGCCCGCCATTCGGTGTTTCTAGCACTCGCCCTGATCGTCGTCTACCTCGGCGGCGATGAGGCGACGATGTGCTACCAGTGCAGATCGGCCGGAAATTGGTCCGACGAGCTGTAGGTTTCGGAGATAAAATACTTTGTACGCGAAATGCAGCCGCAAGCCGCTCTTCCATCACGCCGATTGTATGGAGGGTGGCGAGGTCTGTATCTTTCTCTCTTTCTCTCCCTCTCTATCTCTCTCTATTTCTGTCTCGCTCTCTCGCTCTCTCTTTCTGTGCCTATACTACGTTTTTCAGAACGTAACAACCTGCAACGGCACGTACTGCGTCGCGTACCTCGGCCAGGAGACGAGCGGCGAGTTGGGGATGATGCGGCATTGCGCCCAGGAGCAGCCTGAATGCATTGCTGGTAACTTGCCTCAATCTCTCTCTCTCTCTCTCTCTGCCTCTCCCTCTGCCTCTCTCACTCTATCGCCTGCTTTCCAGACGATGGCTGGGAGTGCGGCTGCGACACGGACCTGTGCAACGACTGGAACTCGACGAACTTGATGGCGATGGCTCTACCGCCATCCACGTCATCTAGCGTCAGCTACCTCATGGCCATCTCGCTCGTCGGCGCCAAGATGATCAACCACTTCTAAAAATAAGAATTTGGCCGTTTGAATGTGATGCTTTTCATTGGTTATTGCGAATAAAGTATCTCTCTGGGAGTTCTCAATCTCACTCTCTTCTGTCTCTCTGTCCCTCCCTCGCTCTCTATCTCCCTCTATCTTTCATTTTTGATACAATTATTTTTTTGCGGCTTAAAACCATAAATCTCGGCTCCTAGAATCAACTAGAGTTTCGAGTAGCATTTGATCTCAATCTCCAGCATCCCAAACATTTTGAGAAAGTATGTGGATCTTCGTCTGAATTTGCATACAGATCCAAAATATATGTAAATAATATGACGCCCCCTCGATTAATCCGTCCTGATTCAGCCATTTCCCCAAGATGTCTGCCCGCCATTCGGTGCTCCTCGCGCTGGCCCTACTCGTTGTCCACCTAAGGGTCTCCCACGCCGTCAAGTGCTACAGGTGCACCAGCAAACCCGATGGCCCCCGACGACGAGTCGTAAATCTTTCCTGTGGTCTGGGCAAAGTTCTTTACAGTCCCGAAGATTGGCCCCGTTATCATCCGGACTGTATGCAGGGCAGCAAGGTTGGCATTTTATTGTGTTGTCCATATTTTTTGATTGCTGAAATTTATAAAAAAAAATATTTTTTTAAGATTTTGAAAATTCGAAAATGTTCGAGACTCCGAGCAAAATTCCAGGACTTGCCGACCTGCGAGACAAGCGGTCCTTGCCGCACGTACATGCTAACCGATCCGAATCGGAGGAGCTTGCGCAGAAGCTGCTTCCCTAGCGAGCTTCAGGTCTCCCTGGGCTGCCGCCGTGAAAAAGTGGAACAGTGTAAGGGTTTCGGGTTATTCAGTTTCTCTCTCCCCCGCCCTGCCCCCGCCGTGCGGCCCAACTCCCAAGCCAGGAGTCCTATTAACGTGCCCAGCATCTCGAAATGTCGCTATGGCTAACCTGTTTTCCTACGTCAAAAAATTCCAGAAATTTTGTTGGCTCTAGGATTCGGGGCAATTTCTTCGGATAAACTCCAGATAGCCCCCCCCCCCCCAGCCAGCTCGGCGCCCATATGCCCTATTAATGCGCCGAGTATCTCAAAATGTTCGCCGTGGTCTAAAACCTAACGGAAAGTTGTTGGGTTCCGCCGAAAATCGCTAGAAAATTTTTTATAGAATTTTATATAGAATATAAGTGCAGTTTACCCCCCTCAGCCCTAACTTTTCAGCCATACGTCCTATTAATGCGCCGAGTATCTCAAAATGTTCGCCGTGGTCGAATTACTAAAAAAAGTTGTTTTCTTACATCAAAAATTGTTAGAAAAATTTTTATAACAATTATAAGTCTGGGTTTTCTTTAGTTAATTTTTGCTGTTCCAAAGTGAGTTTCCGTATCTCGGCAATCTTTTGACGTACAGAGCTGTCAATAGTACCAAAATGTAGCTCTTGCTCTGGAAAATAAGCCTAGAGTACGTTTGAGTCGAAAAAAATAGCGGAAAATAAAAATATTTGAGATTTAGACTCCTAGTACATGCGAAGCATAGCGGCTTAATCTTTTCAACTTTCAAAATCTTGTAAAAAATTTTTTTAGCAATTTTTGCCGCAAGAAAACAACTTTTTTATAGTAATTCGACCACGGCGAACATTTTGAGATACTCGGCGCATTAATAGGACGTATGGAAAAGTTAGGGCTGGGGGGGTAAACTGCACTCTAACCGAATTTTTTCGCCAAACTTTAATCAAGCCCCAAGCTTCAAATTTTTCGACGTCGATTTTCATCTTTTTTTTCGTAATTTTTTCGTCCCAAATCAAATGTTTTCGCATTCTTCAGATTAAGAGCAACATTTTGGTACCCTTGCCAGCCGTGTAAACTAGAGCCGAGATACCAACCTCGACTTTTGGCCAGGAAAAATTCATTTATCATTCATCTATAGGTGTGTAAAGCATACCAAAATACGCGCCAAAGCCAGACAAACATTTTGGTATACTTTACGCACCTGTAAATGAACGGCGCAACTGGGTTAACAGTGGTGTCACTTATGTATCAGGCTGGCAGGGTATGCTTAGGAGCAGCTAGAAACAGTTTAGAAACGCATCCGCTATTTATAAAAAAATTTAGGCTTGTTGCGAAAAAAGTTGGTCCCCCTCCGTGAATCCTAAATAACCAATTTTTTCAAAGATACAACAGCTCACTTCAGACCACGAAACGACATGGGAATGCTACTGTAACAGCGATCTGTGCAACAATTTGGATGACGCCTCGCTGAAGGCCAAGGCGGCCACCTCAGCCGTCCCGTACCTCATCGCCATCGCCGTCGTCGGCGCCAAGCTGATCGCCTTTTTCTGAATTTCTTTTGCCCTTTCTGAATCGATTGTGATGCTTGGCACTCGGTATTGTAAATAAACTCTGAAACGCCAACTGCCGATAGTTTTAACATGACTAACAGCTTCATATCACGAGTAAGCAGCAAGCCTGAAAGCACGAAAAATTTGCATACATCTAAAGTCCATATGCAGTCAGACAATGAGCAAATTCACAGCTACCCCGTGTTCCATTTCTCCAAGATGTCTGCCCGCTGTTCGGCGCTCCTCGCGCTGACCCTGCTCATCGTCCACCTCGACTTCTCGCGCGCCGTCAAGTGCTACAAGTGCAGCACCATGATGGGTAGCAAAAGCGAAAGGTACTCCATTCACCCACCAGATCTGAATGCCATACGCCATTTGCAGCGTCAACGAACGCTGGCCGCCTCACCCGGACTGTCTGCAGGGCAGCAAGGTTGGCATGGTTTGCAGAATTATACCTTGATTTTTGCGGTTCTGGTTTGTTAGCGGGAGGTTTAGCAGGAGGATCCGCAAACGACACAAGGCAGCACAGCCGTTAGTTGCTAAAAGTGAGCCGGAAACGCGTAAAATATACTTTACCCACAACGCAATACAAGGTTCTTTAGGTTTCGCGGGGGACCGACTTTATCGGCCCAGGCCTACATTTTTTTTATAAATAGCGCGCGCGTTTTTACATTGTTTTGACGATGCCCCGGCATCAGCCCTTTGCGAATTTTTAATTAAAAAAAATTTTAGCTCGAAAAATGGATTTCTTTCGATCCAACGTGGCAAAATTTTCGACTTGTTCCAACATTTTAAGCTTGTTCGAACATCTTTCCACTTGAAATATAGGTAAAACGTGCTAAATACAATGTAAAAACACTTGATATTTGTTTATTAGATTGGTTTCCCTCCGCCTCCCCGGGATTCTCCCCCTGCCGCGAATCCTAAGAATCTTCTTAAAGTATACTTTACCCACAATGGTAAATTTAGGAGTTGCCGGCCTGCGGGGGCACTCATTGCGTCGCAATTATGGGTGCTAATGGAACGTCGATGCTGAGATTCTGCTCCGATGGGCCGACACAATGCGGCAAGTACGAAGGTGGTGGCGGTGGGTAGCTATAGCTGCGTATTTTGAGAATTCTGCCGGGTGATAACAAATATTGTATTTTTATGGTGTATTTAGTAGTTTTCGATTGCTGGAAACTTACAAAAATCGTTGACATTTTGCAAATTCGAAAGCTTTTACCCTTTTTGGTCATTTTTCTTACATTTTTGAGACAAGTCAAAAAAATCCTATTTTTATCTTTTTTTTTAAAGCTTTTTATCTCTAATAAACTGTTATAACTGGGTAACAAATTTGTTGTAGAGGCCTACATGGTTTCCGAGAGAAAAATTGGTGCCCCCGCTAAAATCCCCCCGCTAGCAGTCCAGTCCCCTGATAATATGCGCGTCTTCCAGTAGTTACGTGGAGCTGTGACTGCAGCACTGACCTGTGCAACGACTGGGATCCGGCCACGTTGAAGGCGAAGACGTCGTCCAACACCACCTTCCTCATCGCCATCGCCGTCGTCGTCGCCAAGATGCTCGCCAATTTCTGAATTATACGCTTAATTGTGATGCTTGGTACTAATATTGTAAATAAAGACTCTGAAACGCCACCTGCTTATCGTTACAACAACACTCAAAAGCGTCAAATCACGAGAAAGCAGCTAACGCTAAAACAAACGCAAAAATTTGCATACGCTGAAATGCAGCTATCAGGAAAACTATCCAAATTCACAGCTACCTCGTGCTCCATTCCTCCAAGATGTCTGCCCGCTATTCGGTGCTGCTCGCGCTGGCCCTGCTCGGCGTCCACCTCGACTACTCCCGCGCCGTCAAGTGCTACAGGTGCCACTCCGGCCAGGGCTACGACGGTTCCTACCACCCGGACTGCATGCAGGGCAGCAAAGTGGGCATGAGGTTTTCCAACCAGCCAAGCTTACGCGCAGTTTGGCCCCCGCCCCTCCAGCCGACGCCCACCTACCGTATCTCGGCTCCTGGTTATCCTACCGGGTAGTAAAGTATACCAAAATACTCATCAGAGTAAGGCGAACGGCTTGGTATACTATACACACCTGTAGACAAACGAGATACGAAAGTTGGGCGCCGGCTGGAAGGGGGGGAGGGGGAAACTGCACTCTAACCACCCGCCATCCACCCTTTTCACCGTGAAACCTGGGGCTCTAGGACATGCCGACTTGCGAGGACGAGCAGTGCTACGCTCAGATCGACGTGGATGGAAAGGTTATGCAGCGATCCTGCGGCCGGAAAGAGCCAACCATCACCTGCGCCCCGCATAAAGGGATTGACGGCGGTGAGTGGATAGACCAGCTTGGGGTAAGACTCTAGTTTACCGCCAGCCCTAACTTTTGAGTCATACGTCCTATTAATGCCTAAACTATCATGAAATGTTCGCCATGTTCGAATTGCCATGAAAACGTTGTTTCCTTATATCAAAAATTGTCATAAAATGGCTAAAGCGACCACGGCGAACATTTTGATATACTCCACGCATTATTGGAACGTATGGATGAAAAGTTGCGGCTGGGGGGCGCGTTCCCCGTCTCTTACCAAAAAGGCTAACGCACAATTTTCCGTGTTCCAGTTATGCGGGTGGACTGTGGGTGCGACACTGACCTGTGCAACAACTGGGAACCGGCCACCCTGAAGGCCAAAGCGGCCACCTCATCCATCCCCTACCACATCGCCATCGCCGTCGTCGGCGCCAAGATGATCGCCTGTTTCTGAATTACTCGTTCGTTTGTGATGCTTGGCAGTGGCTATTGTAAATAAAGACTGAAATGTCGCGGGTGTATAAATTTGCTGCAAAAAGAAATTGGTTTCACCGTCCGAAAATTTTGCTACTAGCGCTGCTCTATTTTTTGAAGTTCTGAAAAAACCAGCGAAATTCACAGCCAGCTCAGCCGTTCGACAAGGCCGCTAATAACACAGGAGAAACGGTTAGGTTTAAACTAGGCTCTCTGCAACGGAAAATAGTGATCACTAGCCATAAAAAAAATCGCCTGTTGAAGCTACGAAAATTACGGGCTATAAAAATGGCGCCGTTTTCGTGGAAAAAAGATCTGCGTGGTACGTCATGATCAGATTCGTCTTTGCCGAGGGCGCTGGGCACTTCGGTGCGCATGATCAGGGAGAGATTGGCAAGTGTTCAAAGCCGTATTCATCCTGGAATCGCCTAAGTTGTTTACCACGCCACACGTCCTTACTCCACAAATCAAGGCGAGCGTTTTGCTATGCCTGACAGCCCCATACCTCATAAGCAAGCCAAGCCAGATCATAACCAAGTTTTCAAATCCCTAACGCTTCAATAAGCTAATCGAACCCGGCCATCCTAACCAATGTCAACGGCAGCAACACCGATCTGTGCAATGAATGGGACGCGGCCACCCTCTACCTTACCGCCATGTATACCATCAGCTTCTTCTAAAAATATAATGATTTGGTTCAAATGTGATGATTTGTACTAGCCATTCCGAATAAAAACCGAGAGCTGTAAACCATTTATAACAAGGTATAACACTTGACGGGGAAATGCACAATTAGACAAGGCAATGACAAGAATTGGAGCCCGGATTCGCCGGCGTGAAAAAAAAGTAGATAAAAACAGAACAACGAAAGGCGATAAGTTACAAATGGAACAAGTGGAAGGGGTGAGAAGCCGGCTTAGGGGGTGATGCGCTTCGGGTCACGTGGGAACATCGACGACAGACGGATGTTGTGCAGGCCGAGGAAGAGCATCGTCACGCGTTCCATGCCTGTAAAAGATAAGTAAAAATTTTGTAACGAGAGCGGTTTATGAAGCGCAATGTAGATTTTCGAACTACAAATCTTCAAAAAGAACGTCGCGCAGTGAGACAAGGCCGTAACAAAATGCCGAATTACACATAATAACACTGACCAATTCCACCGCCAGCGTGCGGCGGGCATCCGTAGCGGAACGCGTCAATGTAGGCCTGGATCTTGTCGAGCTCGATGTTGTGGTGCTTGGCGCGCTCGGTGAGGAACGTCGGGTCGTGGATACGCTGGGCTCCGGAGAGAATCTCTTCGCCTAAAAAGATTTGCTTGAAACGCACTGGATACGACTCTCCTCATACTTTTTATTCCAAAAACAACAAATAAAGCTCAACCCCTTACCTCTCATGAACATGTCGTAGCTGTTCGAGTAGCGCGCATCGTGCGGGTCGGGCATCGTGTAGAATGGCCGGACGGCGAGCGGGAACTTGTCGAGGATGTAGAAGTCGGTCTTGTACTTGTCCTTGACGAGTCGGCCGAGCTTCTTCTCCAGGGGCGTCGACAGGTCCTCCTCATCACCAATCTCTTCGCCGCTCTCGCGCAATATCGCCACGGCATCAGCATACCTAAAACAATGGATGAACGCTCAGGAAAAATAGCTGACTTCAAGACCAAAGCCGGCTCGCAGAACTCGAAGGGCTCGGCTGGGTATTGTTGTCCGACGGCGGCGATCTAAAGGAAGTTAGCGCCGATGCAGAATTCTTACCTCATGAGCGTATTCCTTCTGGAGTCCCTTGAAAACGTTGATCAACACATCACCGATTGTGCGCATCACCTAAAAACGGCAATATAATCTTCTCCATGTCACAAATTTTCGTTACCTCATGATAGTGGAACTTGAAGGCCATCTCCAAGTCAAGGCCGACAAACTCGGTCATGTGGCGATGGGTGTTCGAGTCCTCGGCACGGAAAACGGCGCCGACGGTGAACACCTAAAATCAGATTGAATTGATAAACTAGGCCACCAACCTTCTCAAAATCACCGGCGATTGCCATCTGCTTGTAGAGTTGTGGCGACTGGGCCAAGTAGGCTTGACCCTTGAAGTAGCTGACGGTGAAGACGTTGGCTCCACCCTCCGAGGCAGCAGAAATAATCTTCGGCGTGTGGATTTCTAAAAGCTTTGAAATCGAAAGCCTGAAGAATATTACCAGTGAAGCCACGTTCTCGAAGAATTGAGCGGAAAAAGTGGCAGACACCGTCCTGAACCCGGAAGATAGCTTGGGTGGTTGTTGTGCGCAAATCGAGGATTCTTAAAAAAATTGATTTTTCAGAAAAAATACTACCTGTTATCAAGCCGAGTGTCGAGGTTGACGACCGCGAGCCCGGAAGGATCGTTTTCGCCGCGCGATGCGTCCTCGATTTGCAATGGCAGACGGGGCTCCGAGGAGGAAACAACGAAGACCTAAAACACCACAATACGAACAATTGCTATTTCCTTACCTGAATCGGGTGCAGTTCCATCTCCTTTTGGGTACACGCCGACACTTCTTGCTCGGCAACGACCACCTTGGCCTGGATGTCGATAATCGACTCCTGAAAAGGAAATGGAAGCAAAAACACTGAAAATACCTTGGGAATGGCTCCGACAAACTTGACCATCTGCTTGCTCACGAGGTCGCCCTTGAAGAGACCAACCTAAAAATCGTGAAAGTTGCTTTCATGTAAAACTATCATACCTGGATGGTGTGCACCTTGTGACGGAGTACCAGGAAGCAGGATTTTCCGGTAGAGCGAGTGGTGTGTACACGGCCGCGAACCCAGATCTACAAGCAAGAGATTTAGCGGAAAAGCTTCAAATACCTCCTTGTTAGCCAGGTCCTTGTTGATTACGTTCAGCTCGGTGAAGACGATGTCCTTCTCATCGGTGGACTGGACGAGCCCGTAAGACCCGTAGCAGCCGACGCTCACGTCTTCTTCCTTGTCACCGCTCGCGTCATTGGCGGACGGACCCTTCTGAAAAATACACATAGATAATGCAGCCGGACGATAAGCAGAAAGCTTGAAAATCATTTCCGTTACCAACCTGCTGGGTCAGCTCCATCTTCTTTGCCTTCTTGGCGAGCTTGTTCAGCTCCTTTTTGCTCAGCTTCTTCTCGCCATCGGCGGCAGCAGCCTCTTGGTCCGACATGGCGCTGTAAACAGACTACCCTGAAAAACCAAAATAATGGCACCCAAGATACACCAAACAAATGTTTATCTCAACGAAACTCGACAATCTACACAACTAGACCATATCTTCATCTACACCACTAAAATTCGCAAAGATCGTTGGGGTTAACCAGTTTCCGTCAGAACTGCAGCAGTTTTTCTATGAAAAATTTATTCACAGGGTGATTTAGACTAGTGCGACATCATCAATCAGCATGACATTGGCGGTACTAATTTAGACATGTGGGTACCAGAAGCTTCACATTCACAGCACGGGCATCACAAAGCTAAAGAGCCAAAAAAAAAGTAGTGGTTACCCATAATAATGAACAATACACAGTATAAAAGTGCTTAGGATTAAGTACAAATGACGTTCAGATCATGGCTTGATTAGTGGGGGCGTTTCTCGGCGTGCTTCTTCGTGAATTCCTCGGCATTTTTGATGAACGTCTTCTTGTCCTTGGTAAATTCCTCGGCCAGGTCTCCACGAAGCGGGTGGTCGGGTTCGGGGTCGTTGATCAACTGCAGCAACGCCATCAGCACCTGCTCGGCACGGGTGGCCGGCTTCCAGTTGTCGGGGTGGACGATGCCGAGGCAAATTTGGCCCTGCTCGTCAATGTTCGGGTGGTAGATCTTGGTCAGCAGGGTGAGCTTCGGCGGCTTGAACGGGTAGTCGGCGGGGAAGTCGAGCTGGACACGGAAGGCGCCTTTGGAGTAGGGCACGTTGTCGGGGGAGGAGGGTGACGGTCCAGTGGAGCAGATTGCTGTCGCTGTACTCGACGTTCGCGTACGACTTGGCGCCCGAGCCCTGGATGTCGGCCAGCTCCTTTTGTAATCGACGCGAGACGGACATCGGGGCGGCCTGAAAAAGTGAGATAAGTGGGGGATGCTTGGTGGTCAGGGACGTAGCGTAATACAGGGCCCGGGGGCCCGGGGCCCCCCCCGAAATCGGTCGGGGCCCGAAAATTTCATAAGGGGGGACCCTTATGATTTTTATTTTCTCAAAAATTTTGCTGCCTGCGGCGCTATTTTTTCACGTTTTTACATCTGTTTGTAGAGCTATGTAACCGTTTTTGAAAAAATTTTTGCCTGCGGCGCTGTTTTGTCGGTTGAGTTTTCGAGCATTTTGGAAAAAATTTTGGGGGCCCCCCCGAAATTTTTTTCTGGCTACGCCCCTGTTGGTGGTGACGAAATCTTGTGAAAAACATGGGAAATGTGAAGAAGTGACGCAAAGGACAATCAGAATCAGTTTTTAGCTGATTTCAAAGAGAAATTAGAAAAAGTTGCAAAAGATTTTTCGAGAAAATTGTTTAGGTTGTTTAATTCTGACGCAAATAAATTGGGGGTGTCAGTGAGGGGTCGGGGTCCCGGCGTGTGGTGTATTGGCGCGTTGCTGACGAAATCCGCAGCACAACAAAACAACAACCTGTTTAGGAAACGTAAAAAAAGCATAAAAGGACAAAATTATAATCTTTATAAACTAAACAATATAAATATCATCAAAGGAAATTTATTTCGCGGAAATTGTCTTTATTTGGCCGATCCAAATCTTTTCTAATGGCTAGAAAACAAAATCTTTCTGGAAAATCGGTATTTACATCAAAAATACCGGAAATGAGTAATTTCCCTAAAACCGAAGGTATTTGAGGGGTTTCCAACTAGCAAAAAACATTGCCGTTGCCTACTCGCCCCCTCGTCCGGCCGGCTTCGAGCCGATCCTCCGCCAACGATGGCCTCTTCCGACCGAGCTGGCAAAAAGTCTGGCTGTAAGTCACATTTTTCTTCGCATTGTAATTCTGTTTTCAGCAGCGAAGCGCGCTACTACGCCCCAAAACCTCAACTCGGCCCAGGCCGCCGAAGAGATCAACCGGATTGCCGAGCGGGCCGGGAAGCGGATCATCGACCTGTACGAGAAGATGCCCAGGGCTGGCAACACGGTTAAAGGTTTGTATTTGCATTTGAAATTGGCGTTGTTTTACCTTGATTCTCGGAAATACTTTCTTTTACAGGGGTATTCGACGACCGCGCGCTGCCCTGTCTCATCCCGCCCAGCCCGAGCCCGGCCCGAGGCTGCAGCACGAAGAGCGTCACGGCGACCACCGACCGCGGCACCTCGATCAGCACACCGCCGTAAGGAATTGAGTTATAACTGGGCTTCCCTGTAGGCTAGATGTTGTAAAGTATACCAAAATACTAGCCAGAAAAAGACGAACATTTTGGTATGCTTCACGCCCTCGAAGATCAATCGGTAGCCGAGTTATAACCGTTTGGGCTCGGCTGAGTTTAGAGTAAATTTAATTCTTTCCATTCTTTTTAAACCTATAAGTTTAGCGACAGCACGTTGCCCCCGGAGACACCACCACCGCCCGTGCAGGACAGCTCGAGTCGGGCCAGCAAGCGGACGGCGAAGAAGAAGAAGCGCCAGCAGCAGCAGCAAGAGTCAGACAGCGACGGCGTGCGCACGGCCCTTTCGCCCGGCCCCGAGACGTACTACCCCGGAAAGAAGGGTCTTCTTCAGTTGAAGCCTAATGAGACGGTACATTTTTTGGTGGTTTGTTTTGTGTTTATGGTGTATTACGCCGTTTTTCAATTTAGGAAGTTTAGAAAGGCCTGATTAAAATTTTCAGAAATGAGTAAAAATCCCAATTTTCCACGTTTATAAAAATGTTCTTATGGCTTTTGGTTGCCAAAAACTACTCGAAAGAGTAGAAAAGGCTAAAAAATTTTGTAATGCTCTTTCAGGTCTTGTCAACCCATGCATTTCAGGTGTACCGCGAGGTCACCGAGGGGCGCAAGGTGCTGGTGGTGCGCGAGGTTGACGACCACCGAGGCGACATCAGGATCAAGTCTGCAGAGTGAGGACGTCACTTGCCAGTTCAACTTTCTTGCTAGTGACCCCCGTCCTCGCCTGCTCGAGCTCCTCCGCAACAGCCAGCGCGAGCCCGTCCCGAGGTCGTCGAGCCGCAACTTTTCGCTGACGACGATGCCACGCATTGACGAGCCGTTGCCGCAGCGCGGCTCGCCGGGACCCGATAAGATGGTATTGTTTCGTACTCGTCACTTATGAAACATTTTTTTGCAGCCGAAGGGCTGGGGCATCGACGCGACGATCTCGATCCTGGATGCGACGGGCAAGCGTCATCAGTTGAAGGTAATTTTCTTTATTGCTGAACTTAATTTTTCTAGATCTCTGCAATGAGCCGCTCCGACTCGGCCGCCACCACCGTCATCGTCCAGGATCGCCCGGTCACCTTTGGCCACGGAAAATCTAAGTACCCGTAAGGCGTTTGCGCAAAGCTGATCATAATTTGTTTCCAGCGAGGAAATGTCGCTGCAGTAGCCGCCCGGTGCCGCCCCTTCAACCGTCGAAATAAAATTGAAACTCGCTCACCATTTTCAAAGAATGCATCGCTGTGAATTTTTCCGAAATAACTCGTTGTCGCCTGCCTTAACTTTATGTGATATTTGCTCGTGGAGAATAAATGGCTTTTTTGTGGTGAATTTGAGCCGTGAAAATTTTTATATTGCATCGTCTAGTGTGTATTACATCGAAAGGCTGCTCTCTGCGTGAAACTCGTGATTTTTTTATCGCTTACCGAGATTTGTGAGTTAGGTTTCCTACGATGAGGCCTGTTTCTTTCTCACCTAGCTCTAAAATCCAGTGACAACTTTTCCCGTACTCATTGTTAGCTTCCAGCTGTTTACCCGTAGGTGACGATGAATCTACAGCTTGTAAACATTGTGTAGGAATCGAAAGATCACCCAATTGCCTGGCCCCAAACATGTGGAGGGCACCGCCGCGGATAGGTGGGAGCGGATCTCTCGACAATGGTGGGTGGTGGCTCGGTCGGCAAGAAGGGGGATCTGGTGAAGAAGATGACTTCAAACAACGGTGCCGACATCACTTCCCCACCCACAAGCGGACAATGCCACCGGAAAAACCACTCCACCATGGCCCCTGGTCGAAGAATCTCTGGCCTTTAGCGGAGCGGGGTGATTGAGAGGATTTTTGGGGATGGGTGAGACTAGCGCGAATTTCCACAACGGCGGATGTGGCACAGGTCGCGCAATAGCAAGCAACCGTTCAAAAACCGAATTCCATGTCGTAATTCAGGGTTTTCTTTTCGTAAGACTCAAAGGAATGTTTACAAATGAAATATTTATCGAAACCAAACAACAAAAATAACAAATATTTTATAGAAACGAACAATAACAAATTTTTCAACCATTTTCAACGGGATTCACCTCGGCTGCTTTCTTCTTCATACCTCATTATCCGTTCTGTAGATTTATTACCTGGAGCACATTTGAAAAGCCAGAAACTCTAATGCCTAATGCTCACTTCAGATGTCTCGAAAGGAGCTCGCTTGTCCGTCACTGTCGTGCGACTACACCACGCCATTCCAGACCACTTTGCGCAGGCATGCTCTTCAGCACCACGGGCTATATATGCCGGAGACGCAAAAGGTCCTAGTGGCAGATGGATTTGCATGCAGTATCTGTCCTAAAGAATACGCAACTCTGAAAAGTCTCCGTGAACATGAAAGAAAAAAGCATGCTGGGTCGTCCACCCATCTAGAGCCCTCGATTATGTGTTCGGAATGTGATGAGGGTTTCTATACCCACCAGAAACTGGTTGAGCATGCGAGGGAGCAGCATGATCGAGACAGGTATGAGATATTAAAATGATATATCGATTTAGGTTCGAAAACGTTGTGTTTGTATTGCAATCAGAAGCCGAATTCGTCGGCTGGTTGAAGAATCTGGAGCATGAGTCGTTTGCCTCCTTTTCGATTCGCTCGTCTTCGAAGAACCGACGCCACTTCCGATGCAGCTATAGTGGTATGGAAGTCAAATCACCGCCAGCGAAGAAAACCCCTAGCTCGAAAGGCTGCACCAACTGTACGGCGTACTTAAATGTAAGTTCTGAAAAGACGTTTGATTCCAGTAAACGAAGTATCAAGTGTAAAGCGCTATCAC